AGTGCCACAAGTCCTCCTGTTCTCTTTTTGCGGATACAGACTAACACGGCTGCTACTCTGAAACTCCCCAGGCAAGAGAGCCAAGCCCCCAGTGCTAGGCCTGTGGGAGCCAGAGGGTCAGTGACAGGTACAGAGGAGAACATACCCCTTCTGAAACGCTCCCTTTCCATTAGTCGCTAAGATGGCTGGGGAAGGGGCAGAATTCAGACTGCCTGGGAACAATCAGGTCATGTTTTGAACCTGGTCCTTCTAACACTTTTCCCACCCACCCTCTCCCACAATGCCCTCTGGCTTTGGGGAGTTGGTTCCTTGCTTATTAGTTTAATGATTAAACAATATGATCCACCCCTAGAACAGGAAGGCCCAGGCCTACCCGACCATGAGAATAACTTCCCTACCTTGGAATAGGTCAGTGATCTATAGGAATCCAGGGGCTTGCAGTGGTTTTACTGGACTATTTCTAACATGCTGAGACAAAACAACAGCCCCATTATAAAGGCAGAGAGAGGGCACTAAAAATCCCTGGGGGACGTCTGCACCCAAGCATCTGATCCCCTATGCAGGGCGTTTACACAGTGTGGGTGGGGTTACCTATGTGAAACCTCTGCAGGGCCATGGGAGACCAGGTCCCCCCAGTAGACCGTCTCTGCTGAGAAACTTTAAATCCAGATTGTGCCACCTGCAGACCTGTTAACCAAAAGACACATCTCAAGGGCCACCTCTCCTGTGCCCCGAGTTCCTGCCAGCCTGGGATAGGTAGGCACTAGGTGTTTGGCCCTCATGTGCGCCAGCCTGCTTCACTGCGATCGATTAACCCCTGGAATGCTGACGTGTGTGAACATGGCAGTGCAGTGCAGTGGTTAGCCCTCATGGAACACAGGAAGTAGTGACAAGCCTATGGGCCACACTTTGATGGGCATTCATTCTGCAACTAAAGAGCACCAGAGGTAAGGCTACATGTGCATATGCGGAGTGTTAACTACTTTGCTCTAATGAAAGGAAGCAATCACAGGGGGCTAGAAGGATGGACAGTTCACTCCTATGAGATTCCAATCAATGCCTTGGTTGGCAGCTTTGGCCATGGGAAGAAGCTCAAAGGTCTCAGAACTCACTTTCTCGAGAGTCATGGAAGGAATCAGCTTTGATGGGAGTTGGGTCGCTCCAGGACCTGCTGAAGCTTCTCTCTCGCCGCTCACCAAATGCTAGGATAAAACCAAACCGGGACATTAACAGACTCCAAAGCCACCACTGCTCTGCCAGCAAAAACCAAAACGCCCAGCAGGGTTCCATCAAAGCTAAAGATCACAAACACGCTTGCATATTTGTTCTTCCATGTGACAAACATGAGTCCATCCCATGTGACAAACAAGTGCCCAGCCTATGCATGATGGGATACAGGTGTCAATTTCTGCACACAAGTGTGTGCTGGTGAGTGAGACACAGAAGAGGAATTTGGTAATCTGCCCCTAAACATTATTGCTCAAACTTGAATTTATTAATTATAGTTCCAACATCTCCATGCACATGCACTATGAGAGTCTGAGAAGATCCTTATTATTTGTTGGGGTGTTTCCCAAGATGTGGGGGCACCTTTGGGGGAGATGTAAAGGACTAGCTGGGAGGTAGAGGGACACATATAAGCCTCGCAGTTGTATTACAGCCTCAGCTTTCATTTTAAAAACATCTCTCTTGAAAACATGACCTGAGTGTTATCCGCAATGTTGTCTGCCTGAGTCTGCAGAGAGCCTGAAACAATAGTTCTGAGATGAGTTGTTCCCAATCCATTTCAAAGGGGGCTAACTTGGATACCAGTAATGCCACTTCAAATGTCACCACTGTTAATTATTACATTACTTGTCAAAGGAATTGTCTAGACTGCTATCAGGGGGCGTGACTGCAGTTTGATGTGACACACCCAGACTAGCTTTAATCTAGCTAGCTCAGGTGCCAAAGCAGTGAAGCCACATTAGCGCAGACTGGACCCTAGGTAATTCCCGTGGGGCTTTGACAGTCTCGTAGAGCCCACACCGAAGCACATGTTGCTGTAGCTTCACTCCTCTGGTAAAAGCTAGGTTATAGCTAGCTCAAGTGGCAATCACTCGCCGGGAGTGCAGTTAGACGTGCCCACAGTGTGTACAAAAGGAGGGGAAGGGTCATATTGGGAAGACACACCCCTCTCCTAGGAGTGGTGGTTCATTCTCGGCAGGCCTTGACCAGTAGCACGACAGCACCAAGTGGGAGCACAACCTGTGTCACCTGCCTGAAGGGGAGCTCAGCTATTGAGAGCTTAGTAAATCCTGGATGACTGTGTGCAGCACACTCGATTCTTACCCCAATGGCAATGGCCTCCCTGGACAAGCCCCCAGGAGCAAACTGGACCAGGCCATGCAGGGGTGTCACACACGTGCTGGGCTGAGGGGTGAGCTGCCCTTGCTGATAGGGCTTGGGGGCCGGAAGTAAACGGTTCACTGGCAAGAGAAAAATGTGGCAGTGTGACTGCAAAGGGCACTACTTCCGCAAGTGTTGTTCAATGTTCCCCTCTGCTGCTGACTAGCTCACCAGTCCCTAATACCAGTCACCTTTCATGAGGGTCCCCACCTTTGCCTCTCTCTGGCCCCCACCTCCTCCCTTCCACACATGGCCCACTTGGTCATTCTCCTCACATCTCTTTTCCTACTCCACTCCTACCCATCTCACACCTCCCCATGAGGGGTTCTCCCTCTGGGTCCTGTTCTTGGAGACAGCGAAAGAAGCAGCGATTTCCGGAACCTGGGCTCAGTAGTGGCAACAGCTGGGAGGGTTGGTAGGAAAGCAGCCTCCTCCGCGGGCCCAGTGCTGCTGGGCTCAGTGGTAGGGGAGAGGCAGAGAGAAGGTATCACAGGGCTCAGCACCGGCAGAAGGGATGGGGGAAGGAAGCTGGAAAACAACTCCTTCTGAGTCTGGGGATTCATGGGCCCCCACAGCCATGGTGCGTACAAATGGCCACTACTAGGAAAGAGGAGGGTGAAAGAAGGGGACAGGGGTCTGTGCCCAACTTCTGAGCTGCAAATCAGATTGCCTTGGTAATTACAGAGGGAACTGCTGGCCGCAGGACAGGGTCCTGGCCCATATGTCTGCCACCCTGTCTGTAGCCCTTACAGTCACCCTTCAGGCCCATGGATATAACTCTCTTTATTTAAGCGCAAACTGTCATGCTCCCCAGCTGCCAGAGCCCACTAGTCGCACTACAGTGGCAGAGTTGGGTTTTCCTCTTAGCTTAAATTCAGGCAGGCAGGAGGTGAGGGCAGCAGGTGGGGGGTGGGGAGCGGTGAGCAGAATGGGAGGAGAGAGGTGCGAAAGGGACAGCTCAGCCCTGTGAAAACACAAAGCCTCCCAGGTTTGTAGCTGTGCCCCATGAAGCAGTGAGAAGCCTGGCAGCCCTCATTACGCGCTGCATCTCTCTCAGAGCGACTTAATGGGGGAGTCTAACCCTGTAGTGCAGTGCAGCCCTCTTATGTACCCATCTCTAGCATTAGTGAGTACAGGAGTCACCTGCACCTGTATCCCACACAGAGCTGGGGACCCCTTCCTGACTGCTCCTGCATGGCCCTGACAACAACGTGGGATTCTGCATGTTGGGACTCCTACCCAATGAGGGGAAGGGGTCTACGTCACGCCACGCTGCCTGCTATGCTATGTCACGTCACACAGTTAAAGGCCAGTGTCATACATTGGTGTGTATGGAGGCTTGGGGGACCAGCTGGCCTCTTCTCTACACACAGCAGTGTGAGGGAGGAAAACCTCATCTCAGCACCTGTGCCTGGTGCTTTCCAGCCCTCCACTTACAACAGACAGCAAAACAATGACTAATTACAGAGGAGTCTGGTTCCTCAGCACCGTTCTCCAGCCTCATGTCCCATCAGCATTAACCCTCTGCCTCCCATCTCCCGGCCATGCCTTGTGGCTTCTTACTCACGTTGCGCTTTCACCCGGCGGCTCCCCACCATGCGCAAATGCTTCCGAAAATTCCTGAAAGAAAAGTAACACAAACCCAGTGATGAGCGCTGGGGTCAGAAACCAACTGACCCAAGCAGTAGCAGCAGGGGGAAGGCTCTCGTTTTCCAGGCATTTAAATGCAGTCACACAGGGCACCACAGAACTCCCAGAGCAACTACAGCTGCATTTGTTCAGTGGCCAGAGTGCGGCTCGTCTGCCAGCTGAAGGGAGCGGCTGTGTTCCCTTTCAATCCCTGTGCCACGGAGCTGCTGTGCATCAGCCATCCTCACGCAATGTCCTCTGGGCTGTTGCCTCCACTCTCCCTGATTCACCCTTCCCCACCTACCTTCCCACAGCCCCAGAGCATGCTGCCCACCTTAGCTGGCAAAGGGCTCGAGGAGCTGCTAACTCTTCCTGTTCACTTGGAAACCAAAGGCAGGTGTTCCACTCCTCCCTGCCCCAGACAGTACAGCAGGAGTGCAGAGGTCCTCTTCCCCACCCCAGGCTCATGCCACACTCACAGCTCTGCCCATTCCCAAAGCACATTTGGGGGTGCTTCCAGTGCTAACATTCACAGTGACTTGAATGCTAGGCAGGTGGGTTCCTGTGCTGACCCCCCCAGGGGCCTCTTCCATCTTTAAATTCCACTCCAAGGTACAGGGCTCACTGGTCTGGACTGCCCCCCAGAATGGGACAGTCATGAAGCAGGAAGGTCCTCCTGGGGCAGGTGTTTTGCCTCTACTTGCTAACAGTGCATCTCTCAACATGCACCTTCCTGCCTGGGATTCACAGGCCAGGGGATGGGTGGGGATACAGAGGAAGCAGAGACCCCAGAGGTAAAGGATGCCACAGGATGGCACCTTGATACATGGCAACTGCCCCCAGGAAATCACCCCAGACTCAGTTCTATATAAATCTGACTTGAGTGTCAGCAGCTGCCCAGAGGATATAGCTCCACAGCCCACGGCAGGGAGCCTCCCAGCCCAGGACAATAGTGGGGCTCACGCTAGCACTCTAAATAGCTGTGTAGACAGCACTTTAGTCACAGCTCGAGTGGGGGCTGAGTTTGGGAGCCCAGCCCCCTCCCCAGGCTTCAGAGTTCAAGCCCCAGCCTGAGTCGCAACTTCAAAGCGCTGTCTACACAGCCATTGTCAGGGCACTAGCATGAGTCCCACCAGACCACCTCTATTGGCCCAGGCTGCGAGCTCGCTGCCGTGGGCTGGGCAAATATACCCTGAGAGAGACCAAGGCCGAGGCCCAAATGCAGATGGAGTCCCGAAGGTACACTGTGCCATCTCTAGGTTCCCCGAGACTGACACCGACTCACAGTGGGACCTGAGCAGTATGTCAGAGCTGGCTCCAAGGGGACTCAGCTGGTGTAATTCACGCATGTGGGAGGGGACAAAGAAAAGCCTCCATCCTACTTCAACTTGCTTCTCTATCTGGCTCCTTGGTGTGTAAATTACACTCATCTGGCACCTGGCAGGACTGATCAGCTTTACTGGGAGGTCACAATATTCATTATCATGGGTCAGGCCACTGGCCCCTGTGACAGACCCAGACCAGTGGGGTACAGGAGTCTGGTAGAGGGCAAATATACTGGTCATTGGATGAGTAGTTTTCTGTTCCCTGACTGACCAGAGAAAAGGGCTGCACTAGAGTAATCAGGAACCTGCTAGAACCAGTTAAGGCAGGCAGGCTAATTAGGACACCTGGAGCCAATTAAGAAGAAGCTTCTAGAATCAATTAAGGCAGGCTAATCAGGGCACCTGGGGTTTAAAAGGAGCTCACTTCAGTTTGTGGTGTGAGTGTGAGGAGCTGGGAGCAAGAGGTGTGGCAGCGCAGCACAAGTGTTATCAGACACCAGGAGGAAGGTCCTGTGGTGAGAATAAGGAAAGTGTTGGGAGGAGGCCATGGGGGAGTAGCCCAGGGAATTGTAGCTGTCATGCAGCTGTTGCAGGAGGCACTATAGACAGCTGCAGTCCACAGGGCCCTGGGCTGGAACCCAGGTTCCCCCTAAACCTCCCAATTGACCTGGACTGTGGGTTCTCCCAGAGGGGAAGGTCTCTGGGCTGTTCCCCAACCCACATGGTGAATCTCTGAGGCAAGAAAATCCGCCAATAAGTGCAGGACCCACCAAGATAGAGGAGGAACTTTGTCACACCCCTTTTAGATGGGTATCTAGTCCCTAGCTGTGACCTAGACTTGTGGCTTCCTAAACACATGCTGCCCCTGGCTATTGTGCAGTGCTCTATCTGGAGTGGGGGCAGGATTCCTTCCTGATCCCTGTGGCGACTGGCCAGTACCCAGCCAGAGGCGTCAGTGTAACGTCTCATCCTTGAAAGGAAATAGGCACATTTCTGGAAGGGAGCCCAGTAAAATGCAGTTTTCAAACCTACGTTGTACCAGGTTAATGCTGAAATGTTTGCATTGCCCTGCTAGAGCTAACCTGCTAATCTCAACCACCCAGGCTGCTGTAAAGGATCAGCTCCCCTTGGAGGATGGACCCAGCCCCATGGGAACAGGGCTCTGCAGTATGAGAGCATTCTCTCACTGTGCTGAAAACTACAAGGACAGCATGGTCTGTCCCTAAGTGAGAGCTCCAGAGACATCCCCTGAGCAGTGCTGAGAGAAGCACTAACAGGCTCTCGTGGGAGTTGTATCCCACTCTCTAGAGCTGGAGGGAAGGTCACCATGACACAAGCCCGTGGGAGATCAGGAGAGAGTAAACATGGGAGTAAAAGGATCCCTTCCCCTGCCCCTCTAGAAAGAAACGCTCTGGAAAGGAGTGACATGATCCCATCCACTAGGCAGCAGGCTGGGCCTCTCCATCCGTACTGATTTGTACAACTATGTCACTCTGTCTCGAGTCTGACCTCTGTCTTTATCCATAAGGAGCAGCCAAAGAGCCAAGAAGCAGACGCAGTTACCCTTGGAGGAGCGGAAGTCACAGGAGATACGAAGACCCACCCAGGACTCGTGACGAGGGGGCTTGGGGCGAATTACCAATGCCTGCACTCACCAACACAACACAATCTGATCCTTTAACTTGTCCAAAATCTCTTCGTCCATCCACATGCAGAAAGCAGCAGTTACGTTAAAAATTGAAAGAGGCGCTGTTTGTTATTTCTCTTCCTAAATATCGCTCCTACTGCTGCCAGCACCAACTTTCCACCACAGTCTGTACAGCCACGACTCCATACCCCTGGGAGGCGTTCCATCCAAAAGATTCTTGAGACAGATGCAGCCCATCCCAGGGTACAATTTCCTACACTACACAGCAGGCAGGTCTGTCTGAATTGAGGAATTTGCATAGAATCATAGAAGATTAAGGTTGGAAGAGACCTCAGGAGGTCATCTAGTCCAACCCCCTGCTCAAAGCAGGACCAACACCAACTAAATCATCCCAGCCAGGGCTTTGTCAAGCCGGGCCTTAAAAACCTCTAAGGATGGAGATTCGACCACCTCCCTAGGTAACCCATTCCAGTGTTTCACCACCCTCCTAGTGAAATAGTTTTTCCTAATATCCAACCTGGACTTCCCCCACCGCAACTTGAGGCCACTGCTCCTTGTTCTGTCATCTGCCACCACTGAGAACAGCCGAGCTCTGTTCTCTTTGGAAAGCCCCTTCAGGTAGTTGAAGGCTGCTATCAAATTCCCCCCCCCCTCTCTTCTACAGACTAAATAAGCCCAGTTCCCTCTGCCTCGCCTCATAAGTCATGTGCCCCAACCCCCTAATCTTTTTTTGTTGCCCTCCGCTGGACTCTCCCCAATTTGTCCACATCCTTTCTGTAGTAGAGGCCCCAAAATTGGACGCAATACTACAGATGTGGCCTCACCAGTGCTGAATAGAGGAGAATAATCACTTCCCTCGATCTGCTGGCAATGCTCCTATTAATGCAGCCCAATATGCCATTGGCCTTCTTGGCAACAAGGGCACACTGTTGACTCGTATCCAGCTGCTCGTCCACTATAATCCCCAGGTCCTTTTCTGCAGAACTGCCACTTAGCCAGTCGGTCCCTAGCCTGTAGCAGTGCATCAGATTCTTTCGTCCTAAGTGCAGGACTCTGCACTTGTCCTTGTTGAACCTCATCAGATTTCTTTTGGTCCAATCCTCTAATTTGTCTAAACCACTCTGGACCTTATCCCTACCCTCCAGCGTATCTACCTCTCCCCCCAGGTTAGTGTAATCTGCGAACTTGCTGAGAGTGCAATTAATCCCATCATCCAGATCATTAATGAAGATTTTGAACGAAACCAGCTCAAGGACAGACCCCTCGCGCACTCCACTTCATATTGCCTGCCAGCTAGACATCGAGCCGTTGATCACTACTCATTCAGCCTGGTGATCTAGCTAGCTTTCTATACACCTTATAGTCCATTCATCAAATCCATACTACTTTAACTTGCTGGCAAGAATACTATGGGAGACCGTATCAAAAGCTTTGCTAAAGTCAAGGCATATCACATCCACCACTTTCCCCATAACCACAGAGCCAGTTATCTCATCACAGAAGGCAATCAGGTTGGTCAGGCATGACTTGCCCTTGGTGAATCCATGTTGACTGTTCCCGATCACCTTCCTCTCCTCCAAGTACTTCAAAATGGATTCCTTGAGGACTTGCTCCATGATTTTTCCAGGGACTGAGGTGAGGCTGACCTGTCTGTAGTTCCCCGGATTCTCCTTCCCTTTTTAAAAGATGAGCACTATATTTGCCTTTTTCCAATCATCCAGGACCTCCCCCGATCAGCACGAGTTTTCAAAGATAATGGCCAACGGCTCTGCAATTACATCAGCCAACTCTCTCAGCACCCTTGGATGCATTGCATCCGGCCCCATGGACTTGTGCATGTCCAGCTTTTCTAAATAGTCCTTAACCTGTTCTTTCACCACTGAGGGCTGCTCACCGTCTCCCCATACTGTGTTGCCCAGTGCAGCAGTCTGGAGCTGACCTTGTCTGTGAAGACCGAGGCAAAAAAAGCATTGAGTACATTAGCTTTTTCCACATCATCTGTCACTATGTTGCCTCCTCCATTCAGTAAGAGTCCCACATTTTTCCTGACCATCTTCCTGTTGCTAACATACCTGTAGAAACTCTTCTTGTTACCCTTCACATCCCTTGCTAGCTGCAACTGCATTTGTGCTTTGGCCTTCCTGATTACACCCCTGCATGCTCGAGCAATATTTTTATACTCCTTCCTAGTCATCTGTCCAAGTTTCCACTTCTTGTAAGCTTCCTTTTTGAGTTTAAGCTCACCAAAGATTTCTCTGTTAAGACAAGTTGGTAGCCTGCCACATTTGCTATTCTTTCTGCACATCGGGATGGTTTGTTCCTGCACCCTAAATAAGGCTTTTTTAAAATACAGCCAGCTCTCCTGAACTCCTCTGCATGCTCAATAGAAGCACTTTTATTAGGAGAATTATTTAAGTACTTTAGCTTCTCAATCAGATCCCTTCTGCTGCAATACAGGACCTAAACCCAACAATCCTGACATTTAACTGCAACCACCACGGACCCCTCCATTCCCCTGCAGTTGCTGCCTGAGGCAATCTCAAGCCCCAGGGTTTCACTGGCACATACCCCTTTTAACGGGGATGTACAATGCCAAGGTGCAAGTCCAGCGACTGAGGCAGTGTTTTTGCCAATGCACCAGACGCATTGCCATGGTTAGCACAATGCTGCAGCTCCAATTCCACTGCTTAAATTCTTACAACTCCTCCTGACAGTGGAAAGGACGCTGGGGTGAGCCTCTGAGATGGAGGAGAAGCTGGGATTGAACAGAGAGCTCAACTTTATGGCACTGACCCCTTAGTTTAGAGCAGGCAGCAGAGTTAGCCGGGGCACTAAGAGCTAGAGAGAACCACAGGGACCTGGCTATGTCCTGCAGCCTCAGTAATGGATCCACTTTATTCATTGCAACCAAATCCTGTCTCTTTTCCACCACAAGAGAGAATACAAACCGACTTGGACCCCACAACCTGCCCTGATCCCGAGGGTCTGTGGGAGGTAAGGAGATGCATTGCATAGTCCCACAAAGACCACATCACTCTACCCTCCATTTACTCTCTCCTCTAACAACTCACGGTAAGGCCCAGTAACCGAATTACCTGACTGTTGTGTACATCAATGGCAGGTGCACAGCTCAAATACTGCCAGGCTGGATGAACAATGAAGACTCTCTCTTTTCTAACATAGTCATATCGCCATCTAGAGAACTCTGAGCCAGCTCCTTTTTAAAGAAACACTGCCTAGTCATTTATAGGGTCTGTAATTGTCTCTCGTTTCTTTCCATTCTGATTAAAAAAAGAAAACTTTAGACACTAGAAAATGCCTTCTTTTCCCTGCCAATTTCATCCTTTTGTGTTGCAGAAACATTGTTTTTTTCTCCCTCTGTTTTGAATAGAGCTGCAGTGAATATGGTTGTTTTTAACAGCTGTCATTAATGCAGAGTCTTATCCTGCCCATCCAGCTGCCAAAAATACACATGTGCTGGTACATTTGTGATGTTAGAAAGTTCAACAACTGTAAATGGAAATGACCCGCTAGGCATTTAACTGGCCATCATCACACAGAGTTACTGAATTAATATAATTCATTGCATCTGTAAGTTATGCACCTACATTATTACATATCTGAGCTTTCAGATCCTGTCTGTTTTGATTTGGAGCTTAAAGTACTTGACAGTGTCCCTTTAAGAAGGCTGGAGACTGGCTAGCTTGCTTACCATAGACTCATTGCCCTGCAGACTTTCAGCATGGCCACCGCTAGCGTCCTCACTAAAACAGCAACACAGACAAGGGACAACCATGTTCAACATCATCAAGCGTCATTGATGACACCCGACGGGCCCATGCAATGCCAGGCAAGGTTACAGGAAAACAGGCCCTACCTCTGAATAACAGCTGCCGAATCATTTTCTCGTTTCCGTCTCTTCCTCTCTGCGTAGCCCCTGAATGCCCTGGGAAACCATTTTAAGCCATTAACCAACTACACAGCTTTGAACTGAAGAAGACATGAAACAGACAGACAGAGAGAGCAAGTTCTCACCAGACAACAGAGAGAGGCATGACCCTCCCAACACACAGTCTGGCTCTGTGGAAGAGACCCAGGCCACATGGAACCATTCAGAAGTCAGGGACTGAGAAGAGACCATCAAACCATTGCATACTAGTTATTTACAGCTGTTACAGGAGGCTGGGAAGGTGGCTGCTCCCAAAGCTAGCACAAGGATACCCAAAGTATGGCCAGCAAAATGGCTGACACTAGTCCTCACTCTTAACATGGAGGTTTGGACCTTAGAGACTACAGATCCAGCATGCAACACCCAGGGGTTCTGGAACAATTTGTGGAGGGTGGGTGCTGAGAGCCACTGAACTAAACTGTAAACTCTCAATATGATGGAATCCACTTCAAGCCAGGGGGTGCGGCCGCACCCCCAGCATTCCTAGTTCCAGCTCCAATGGCAACACCTGTTCTTGCCTGGATCAAGTTAGGGCAAAGCATGCTGGGACCTGTAGTCTCCAGGTTGGAGATGAGGGTGACTGAAATCTGTTCTATTTAGGCATCCAGGTGCAGCCATCAATCATCTGGCAAGCTGACCACGCAGCCTTCAACCAGGGGAAGCCCTAGAGAAAAATGAGATGGCAGGGGGGTTCTGTCCAAGACGCCAACAAACAAGGAAACAGAAACAAAGGCCATACTTACGAGATGCTAGAGATCCCAGGAGAAGCGGAGAAAGAAAAGAGAAGAGACATGCATTAGTGCTCAGCCACTGCCAGGCATTCTGCATATTGAACCCAAGGGTCTTAACCAGAACCTGCCAACCAGCTCTGATCAGGAAGTGTTTCCCCTGTGTAGGCTCATATGCCAGGCAAGCGATGCAGGGCTCAGTTCAGGAGGTGGGTGAAAACTGTTCTCTGGTCCACACCTCTTCCACACCTCAGCAACTAGCTCCTCCTGCACCAACCCTACACCTCACCACTTCCCTGGGCGTCTACCTGCCGTCAGAGAGCTGGCCCCTGACATTTCTGACGTGGCTTCAGGAACATCACAGGAAAAACTTTTGGCTTCTTTTCAGAGCTGGAATTATCCCCTCAGTACCGAGGTGGAATGGGGATCAGAGTGCAAGGATGGGGCATGGGCAGGCATGCTTAATGATTAGAGTTGGGAGTCAGGGACCAGAGCCAGAGCCAGAATCAGGGTCAAGCCAAGGGTTGGAGCCAGAGTTGGGAGCCAGGGGTGTGGCATAGGAGCAGGGACCTGGAGCAAGAGCAGGGACCTGGAGCAAAAGCAGGAACCAGGGGAAAACGCAGATGTGGGATAAGGACGGTGGGAATCAGGAACAGCCAGGAAGGCAGGCTCAGGAGTTAGGCCAGTAGGCAGAGTTGTAGTGACTGAGTAACTAGGTGAATTCCTGGCTGGCTGCCAGACAACTTCCTGTGCCTCCTTCTGCTTAGCGTAGAGCATCCAGGCCAATTGGTGGGGCTGGACATCTCCCAATCAGGAGCTTTGTAGGTGGAGCCCTTGGTGAGCTAGAGGTCCACTAGTTCCCTTCTCCAGCGGCTCCAGTGAGATGCTGAATGGCAGCCGTAGTCTGAGCATGGCCTGCATTCAAAACCCATGATCCCTCACATCACCCCTCTCCCATCCTGGGTGGTAGTGAGACAGGTTTCCCGGGGCAATTTTGTGGAAGGCATTTACCAGGTCAGGGGCATGGATGTTCTCCACTGCTTCCCAGGAGCTTTCTTCAGGACTGTAGCCTTCCCAATCCACAAGATACCAGAGTATCTCCCCCCCCCCCCCATCTGATTCTGGCCTCAAGCAACTCGTGGACAATATACACATAGTTGCATAGTGGGGGGGGCATAGAGTGAGGATTGATGAGGGAATGGGTCCTGAATGTAGGGTTTCAGAAGAGATATGGAAAACAGTGTATTCAGAGGGAATGGATTAAGTTGAGTGATGTGAATGGGTTAATTTACAGGTGAGCTCAGTAAAAGCCAAGGAAGTGGAAGTCCAATTTACTAGATAGCTTTCCATGTATAAATGTTTCATTAAGATCCATATCCTCTGGCCTACTGAAAACGCAGGCCCTCCTGTCATCAACAGTCCCATATTATTTGTAGCACTTCTTGGTGTCCTACAGGTGAACCTTTAGGTAATCTTGGACTTGACATTTCTGTTGTATTTAGCCCAGGACTGCTGGGTTTGAGAAGTTGTGGTAGCTCCAGGTAGAACTGAGGGTGGAACCCATAGTTTGAAAATAAAGGGTTTTGTTCTCTAGAGGGGTGTTCTGCGTTATTATACGTGAACTCTGTCTCAGGTAAGAACATAACGGCATTCCAGCAAGGACCAGCCATTCTGGTGGAAGTGTATGTAGCATTGAAGATACTGCTCCAGGATCTGGTTAGTTCTGTTTGACAGTTGTCTGGGGGTGATGGGCAAAGGAGAGACAGGAGCAGATGCCCAAAATCTGGAGAGCTTCTCGCCAGAAGCAAGAAATAAATTGAGTACCATGATTAGAGATGATGCGCTCCGGGAGGCCATGGAGGCAGACAACTTGATCCACCCAGAGCTGGAAGGCTTCCTGGGAGAGGGTAGACCAATGCAAGGGACAAAATGAGCCATCTTTGAGAAGTAGTCCATGACGGTCAGAAGAGTCATGAACCCACTGGACTCTGGTACTTTTACTACAAAATCTGGGGCAATGACATGTAGGGGCCAGGTGGAATCTCGAGGGGTTGAAAGAGTCTGAAGGGATTATTGTGTTGTATCTTGGAGTGGGTGCAAACATTGCAAGAGGATACATAGATCTGTACTAAAACAACAAGGAGTCTGGTGGCACCTTAAAGACTAACAAATTTATTTGTTCATAAATGGTGTGAAAGCCTTCCCATGGTTGTGTGGCGGGTAGCTGTCTGCCAGGGACAGCGACTCATGCTGCACGTTCTGCAGATGAAATCCTGGCCCCAGTAAGTCACTGGGAGTTTTGTCACTGTCCTCCACGAGGTAAGGAGTTCAGCCTCCACCCCTTAAAGGTTGCCATGTAGTACCTCCCCTTCGGTAACAGAGCTGGGGTCCCTCAGGGCCAGGATTCTTTGTAGAAAATAACCTTGTGTGTTGAGCTGTGTCTTTGATCTTCAGCTCAATTCCGTGATGGCTGGAGGCTCTGGCTTCTTTGACCCCCCAGCTGCAGGAAGCAGGCCCCACCCAGAAGCTACTTCCCCTGAAGAGGGTCGGAGCCAAAAAAACTGGGATGAACTGAATATGGGAGACAAATCTAAAATGTGGGGGGTGGGGCAACAGGTGTAACAGGAGCCTGGCAGGAGGAGAGCCCCCACAGAATTCTTATGAAGTTAAGGACTGAGATCAGCGGGAACTAAAAGTCAGCTTTCTCTCAGAATTCTACCAGCAGCACTGCTTGACCCCAGGAAATGGGCAGCACACAGTAGTTTCCCGCTGATCCCAGTCCTTAACTTCAGTCCAAAAAAACAGTGATTACAATGAGGAAAAAAAAATGCAGATGCCTTCTCCAGCACAGGGACTGTGATTGCCCAATCAAGCTACAACCCAGGATAAAAGTTCTGTTCTGTTCAGGCATACATATGCCATGTCTGAACCCTAACTATCTGCTCTGCACAGCTACCTTTTAGGAGAACCTAGCCATCGGTTTATTCATAAGTCCACTTCACACATTTAAAAGGTGATTGCTTCTGACTAGGCATGGACTATTGGACACTGAATCAGTTTATTATTAGAAACCAATATCCATTACCACTGATCCCCAAGCTAACGGACTACATGGGCACTGCTTGGGAGTACACAAAACTAGACCTCCCGGGGGAAATAATCTAGTATGTATTAGAGCTGGGAATGAATGGAAGACTACCTTTCAAACTTGTTGTGGTCACTTTGAATATCTCGTGGTGCCCCTGTGGTTTGACAAGCATGCCTGCAATGTTCCAACATTTTATTAATGACGTTCTCCAGGACATTCTGGGCCAATATGTGGTAGCTCACCTGGATGACACACTTATTTTTTTAAAACAGTCTTCTCAACAACCAAACAAGAACCGGAGCTCGTAAGAACTTGACTGTCCAAAGTTTTGATATCCTAAGATGCAGTCATGCATGGGCCACACACTAACTCTGAGAAAAGAGGTTGGTGCAGCAACAGCCATTTCACTTACGCTTGCATAGTTGTAGTAGCAGTTTGAAAACTGAAGAGATTCTCCTTGGGGAACCAGGTCCGTATGGGGACATCATCTGGAAGAGACAGAGCTAAAAGTGAGTGCCAACCAGACATAAATAGGTTTCACACAGATGTAGTTAGTGATGGGGACATCCTTCCAAAACAGTCTTCTCAACAACCAAACAAGCTTGAAGGCTGGCAATTTCTTTCCATTCATAGGAAAGAATCCTGAACACAATTTGCTACTTCCATGCCAACACAAATTATCTTTTACCTTCTGTAGTAATGTGAAAGAGCAGCTGAGCTTGAAATACACATGAGCCTCACCTATACTGTGCCCTGTGCTAAATGGGACATTAGACATGTTTGTGCATGTGTGTATGTATGTGCACATGTAACTGCCATGGACTGTGCTGTACCTTCTCCAATGTGTTTAGCTAATGTGTTACTCTGAAGGGAAACTATCAAAGGGAGAGAGATGCCTCTTGAGATAGGAAAACTGGGAAGCAATGTCACCAGTTTTAGGCCATGTATATCTGGATTGTCCCCCCTTTAGAATTCAAATGGAACATCCGATAGGGAGACTGGAGGCACCCGAGACACCCCGGCACTCATTTGGCGCCTCTGTGTATAAACTATCCTGCACCAACCAGTGGCTACTTTTTTCCCAGCTCCCTTGCAACAGGACCTCAATCTCCACATCATTGCTAATGACTAAGAGCTTGCAACAAAATCATTACTGAGCATTGAGTCTGCTTGTCCCAGAAACACAAACAGGAAACCAATGCAAAATGGAGCACAGACCTTAAACAGTTTATATCTGTTTGCGATCCTTGAACCCACAGCCAGCAGGTGGGGCTCTGAATTCCTGCCTATCCCACAATTAGATGAAGAGCACCTACTGAATAGATGCCTCAGGGACTGATAGTGTAATGGATTGTGATTATGCTATGGAGGCTTTCAGCTCTAGGTCACTAGTTCAGATTCAAACCAGGAAAATTATGGGCAACAGTCAATACCATCTGACAACAGCTCCGGGAATAGCCTGGGTGAAGGGAGCTGCTAGTCTCCATCTACTTCCCAGTAAACAGGTCCACATCACAAAAGACATTAATTGCCCCCATTGCTCTCCATCCTCAGCAGAGAGAGTGAATAGGAGGATTGAGCTATACTCTCACTCCTAAAAGAAGTCAGGGTTGAGGCGCAGTGGCATCCGGGAAGCGTCTGCTATGCTTGCTCGGTAATTAGAGAGCAGATTTCAGACTCCAGGGCTCATCTGGCAGGGTAAACTTTAATTTATAAGCATGAAGTTCTCCTTTTCTTAAAGCAGGTCATACTCCACCCAATCTGAGAGTTGCAGTGTAAACTGAGAGTTGTAAATGTCAATCTAACCAAAAAACAACAGAGGTGCAGTGCTTTTCCTGGAGTTTAATGACCAGTTGCTATAAGCAGATGATGAATCCACTTATTTGTTAACCCCCATGAAATGACTAGAGCCAGTGCAGGTGTTGCTATTGTATGGTGAAAATTGGAGGATGGTCATAGGCGTAGGGAATTATTTAGGGGTGATGTTGTCTGAATTAGCAACGACGTCCTCTGTATTAGCCAGCCAGATTGCCTGAAACATCTCAACATTCCTTTCAGTGGCTGTATCAGCAGCTGCACAAGAGACAAGAGCCCCTAACCCTCTGGAATGGGGTTCAGATACCAAGGGGATGAGACTGGTTTAGACTGAACTGTAGGCAGCATGGTGATATTGCAGCTTTAATTCACACCATGAATCCCTACACTGCAGGGCAAGAGCAGCACTAAAATTCAAGCCTTTGGGGAAATGAGGGAATATATTTCTTGCTTCCATGCGTTGCTAGGGGCACAGTTCCAATAACTTTTGCTCTTGCCACGTGTGAATGATTTGCTATGCAACATTTAATATAATCTGTTGCATTTCCACTGTGTAGCCATGGGTTTGCCTTAGGCTGTAACACTACAGTACAGATGTGAATTTCTAGACGGCTCGGGCTACACCTACACTACAGCACTTACAGCCGCGCCAATGCAGCCTGTTGTGGAGATGCTCTAAGTTGATGGGAGTGAGCTCTCCCATCGGCTTAATAACTTCTGCGAGAGGCGGTAGTTTTGTCGCCGGGAGAAGCTCTCCCACTGACGTAGGGCGATCTATACCAGGCTTAGGTCAGTGTAACGTACATTGCTCAGGGGTGTGGATTATTCACACCCCTGAGCAACGTAAGTTATACTGAATTAACCTTTAGTGTAGACAAGATCTGAAAAGTCTTTCAGGATGTGGTGCCAATATGTATAATGGGGTTTGATCATTGAAGGTTTTGGGCAAGAGTATGATAAACTGTCAACTAAGAATCAACCATCAAAAACTAAGGGTGTAAAATTTCCAGAAATTTTGAAGGCATGGGAAAAAAGCAGGGTTTTTTTTCCCAGGGGAGTTCTGGAATATAATAGAAATTTTGGGCAAAACCAAAATATCTGCAGTAGTTACTTGCTTTATCAAAACTAAACTTTATTTACTTCTTTAAGAATGAGAAATGTATTATCTATAATTTAGTTAGAATGTCAAAAGTACTGTTTGGTGTACTTATGTAAGCAGAGTCTGAATGAGCTCTCCCCTGACATCTAGCGGTGAGCTGTGGAAAGGACATCAGGAGCTGATCTTGTTTGCACCCACCCTGCCTAGGTGCTCAGCATGATGGGACTGCTTGCCCAAATGGTCACTTTTGGCTGGTGTTGGATCCCCAGTCTCCTTGTTATTGGGGCAGGAGTAACAAAGGGTTGTTATCCTTGTGTGAATCAAGGGCAGCAGAACTGTACTTGGCATGGCCTGATTGAGGGACTCACCCTCATATAAATGGAACTTGCTAGGCAGGAGACATGGGCGCCAAAGCCCAGTGAATTGAGAGATGGTGGGGATAGGTATTTGTGTTTGGTGGTGTGGGCCCCAGACACTACTTGACCCTTTCTCTCTCCACTCTATAATAACAGAGCTAATTCAGACTCCATTGAGAGTATTGTTACACCCTGCAGAGCTGAAATCACTGATACCTAGGTCTAAGCATTAGACCTGCTTTGGGACAGTGTCTCTGATGCAAGAGACTGCCCAGTGTGCACCAGCAGTGAGGCTCTCCAGTAACAGCTGACATCACTGAGAGCTGTGGTAAGGTGTGGGACCATCCAGGTGGCTTAGCAAGTGGCTGGCAGGGTAGCCAGCAGAGAGGTGTGGCGATCGTGCGGGCAGCCAGCAGAGAGGCTGGCAGGGAGGCCAGTGAAGAGGTGCAGTGATCGACCAGCAGGGCAGCTGGCAGGAAGGAACGGAGCACTGATTGGCCGGCAGAGTGGTGGCGAAGAGGAGCAGCAAGTGTCTGGGCAGTGGAGCAAGTAAAGTGCCTTCCCCGCCCCCTCCACTCAGGGCAGGAGGTGAACTCTGCAGATACACCTCTGGACTCTGGGTCTGCACTGACCAAGGACAACAACTGTGAGTGGGGTGCAGAGAAGGGACGGGCACGTTAAAGGGACTTGTGGTTGCTGAACTTAAGAACCTGACAGAAAAGGACACTGCCCAACTTATTGGGGATCAGACTTTTGCTCATGATTTATGTTTATGAACCCTGTTTGTGGTGTTTTCCCAAATTAATACCAGGTTAATTCCCTCCTTTTCTTAAAAAATTATTTTCTACACTCAGACTCTATGCTTACGAGAGAGGAAGTATTGCCTCTTAGAGGCGCCCAGAGGGTGGTATGTTACTGGGTGGGGGCTTGAGTTGGTTTTGTGTTGTATGGTTGAAGAGAAACCCCTAGATATTGAACCCAGCCCCGGTTACTGCCAATTCCAACAGGCAGAAGGGTTAGACTTATTAAATAAATAAAGTAAAATTATTTAGTTTTTATTTGAATAATAATGACAAACATATCTAGTGTTAAAGATGGGGTTGCAGCTGCACACCAAGGTGAACAGGAAAAATATATAAAAAGTTGAAAATAGAAAGCCTCAATATTGTTGTAAACAAAAAGGAAGGTTATGTCCTTTGGGCTCAGAAAAATGTATGTAAATAGCGCTGACCTGACATTATCAGGCAGATACAGAAGAAATTCATGCTTGTAGAGAAAAAGCCCCAAAAATTAACGTTTATAATTTAGTTAACAAAGTACAATATTAAGGACTAAGAGTAAATGTGTATATATAGCCAAACTTTATATTAGTAACACCAGATTCTTTAATAGTGCATTATCATATATGCCATAAGTGTTGAAATTGTAGACATAACTAGCCACCCGATGAACCAGTATAATATAATTCAAACAGTTGCTAATGTATTCTGGGAAATGCTAGCATAGCTCAAGTTTTTCCTTCTTTCCTTTCTCTTTTACTGGTCATTCTGAGAGAAAATATTCCAGGTAACAGTTTCTTTTCAATTTTTCCCATACCAGGCCTCAAGGGGAAAAACACCCAGAAAAAACCCTCTGTTTTTCCCTTTAAAAAGTTTCCAGTTTTTGCAGATCCTCACATCTCTGACGAGGTGCACATGGAGCGTGCTATGAGGCCTATCACACTCACACCGGACAGCTGTTGGCTGTTTACACCAAGGCAGGGTTTGATGTGAACTTTCAGGCTGTGAAACAAGTCACAGGACCCCTCTCTGCAAAGACCATGAGTAGATCTCTGAATTGCAGAATGAGACACAGATGAGCAAGCGACTGAGGTTTCTGCCTGCCATTGAGAAGGCAGCACAAGAAGTGACAGAAGCCAACTGGCCTTCAATAAGCTCACATGTAAGTGAGGAAAACTGATGCAGTTAATATCAAGAAATGTAAAGTTGCTGTTTTTGCTGAGGTTTAAGAGCCAGGTCTCGCAAATCCCTTACACATCTGTGTAATCATTACTCAGGTAAGCAGTGCTACTCACATGAGAAAGCACTATTAATGTAAGGGTTTGCAAGATCAGGCCCAATGCCACCCAGTTGGTTCTAGTTCTTCTGAGCAAACAGTCATTACTTTTCTCATTCTCAGAAGTAAAGTTTCAGAAAGGTAGAGGCCATTTGTCTGTTTAGCAGAGGCCATTTCCCCTCACAAGGTTGCATAGCTGAAAATATATCCCTTAAAGTCTAAGGAGGCAAAGTCTGCATGGAGAAGATCAGGATGGAGAACGGAATCTTCCAAGTACAGCATTTGTTTGGCTTTGGGAATTCTGTTTTGGGTTTTTTTCCCAACAAGTGATGTTGATAACTGAATTTTACAACCTACCATTTTCATGGCTTTGTCCCATTGTTTCGTATTGAGTAATCTGTAAGAGCTCCATTCCTGCAAAGTGCATTCTTTAATATTCCAAAAAAATGGTTTAAAACATAAATATACCAAGTTTAGAATGTTATCCCTTCCTGGCTCACACTGGACTCAAATTATGAGCAGCGTACTCCCATTACTACCTATACAAAACCAAATCCCAAAGAGAATCTGGGCTCTCACTCTGATAAGTCCAGCCACAGAAACTACATTCTTATTGTGCTCTCACACAACCCTTCTCTCGGTCATTACACACAAAACAATCCCTTAGCAGGGCAGAGTCATGCGTGACAAAAATGAAGGAAAACTAATCATTTTTTGTACAGAAGAAACCAAAATAATAAATTAAGGCCAACATTTTCAAATGTGGATTTTTAAGGTTAAGCATAGATACCCATATGATAGACACCAAATAAAAGTGCCCTGGTTTTCGCTGGCCATGGATATTACTGGGAGCTGTGGTGTTCAGCACCTTGGAAAATCCAGGAGTACTTGTGGCACCTTAGAGACTAACAAATTTATGAGAGCATAAGCTTTCATGGACTACAGCCCACTTCTTCTGATGCATATAGAGTGGAATAAATATTGAGGAGATATATATACACACA